GTATGCTATCTGCGTCAATAGAAAAATCCGCCGATATGTTTTAGTTTATGCAGCAGCGTCTGACTTTAAAAACCTTGTTTATTCAGTCAGAGTGGCAATTCCCTCATAAATTGGCAAAGCTCAAGTTGGATTTATAAAAGTATAGTGGGTAACTTGTATATAATTAATATTAAAAAAAAAAAAACGATAAACTAGATAAATTCTTTAAAGGTACGCGCGCGTCCTTTGGAATATTCACGTTAAATCTATTTGACTCAAACATTATAATTTTATTTTCTATTATGATGCGAAAAAAAGCATTACGTAATAAATAACAAAAAAAGTGTTGTCTAATCTATTGATTTTATTTCAATCATCTCATATGGAGTATGTTTAATTAATCTCCGTTTGAGCGAAACATGTACTATAGGAGATTTTGTAAAGATCACGTGAATTTATAGGTAACTAATGAAATTGTTTATTGATATTTATTTATTGATATTTATTGTGTAATGATACATTGCAAAATAATAAATAAGTAAATAATAAATAAATAAATAATAAACAAGATTAAATAATAAACAAGATTAAATAATAATGATATCAATCACTGTTATCATGTTTGGATTCAATTAGTACACTAATTCTAACAACCAAGAGAGAGAAAGAAAGTGTGAGAACAATAATTGCGAAAGTTATATAACTTGAATTATTTGGCAAATAAATTATTTTTTTGGAATATGGTGACGCTGGAATACGAGTATCAACATAAATATAGTAAGCATACAATACGTATGCTAAAGAATAACTAAATTGAAACAACAAGATACTATATTTGAAAAATAATTTTTTGAAAGACAAGGAAAATTTAAATTAAAAAAGTTGATCACCAAAAAAAAAAACTTTTTAAAACAATTAAATCCACTTACGGAGTTTGTTGAGCATAATAAAAGGTATTTATAGTGTTGCCCAATCCATGAATAAACGATGCTAACGCCAAGATCAAAAGTTGATTTGGGTGATGGAAACATGATTTATATTTAGTAGCATCATCATCATCATCATCATCATCATCATAATAATAATCATCATCGTCATCATCACTATGATTTTCAAGATTTTGTCGTTCTTCATCTTCATAATTACCATCGTCAACCAATGCAATACGATTTTTTTGTTTTAAATTATGAAGTGTTGTAAAATATGTTCTTGTAAGTTCAATAAATAATAATATATCAAGTGTCAAGCCTATAAAATTATATAATTTATATGGGTTAAATGGAAAAGTAGGAATTTCAAACACCAAGCCCAAGCCACAAATCATACCTTGAATTCTAAAGGCAATAGCATCATAAGGCCATTTTAAGAATATAGTAAGTGCACCAACGATCAAAAGATGTATAAAGAAAAATGCATACCATTTTGAATAGTTGATTTTTCCTCCTGATAGTATCCAAACTATCAACACATATTCTAATATATTGTGATTTACTGCAACCATTCCAAATAATTTACCAATATCAAATATCGCATAAGTAAAGCCTGAAACAATAGTTGTTATAATGTAAATCACTATCAAATAATATAACTCGTCATTTCTATGTCTTTTACGTTTGCTGTGTCCATCATTGTATTCATAAAATATTGTCGAATATTTATTGGATTTCGGCTTATTTTTAATTGTATGATATCCAATATATGCACCGATTGCCATCACCACCTCGACAAATACACTTAATGCATCAAGTTGGCTCTGATCATATCCTAAATTTCAAAGAAAATTGTAAATTATAAAAGAAATTATATATATAAATCAGATTAAATAATTAATTACCATCAATTACTGGATGCCAAACTGGATAACCGGTTAAACGGTTAAAAGTTTGTTTTGGAATATTTAATTCAACATTTAAAAAACTAAGAGCTACAGCTATAAATACAAGAACAGAAATTATCACCACAAACACTTTACAAGCAAGCCCCATTTTTTTTTTAATTTTGGTATTTTTTTAAAGAAAAAAAAATTATCATTTTTTATTATAAACAAATTATTTATATTATTATTTATATAATATTATATAATGGCGCTGAATTGTTTGTTGTTTATACTTTGTGATTTATAAATAAAGATACCAAATACCAGATAGATAAATCTTACGCAGTAAATAAAATTCAATTTATATTTTTCCGAATTAAAAAAACCCATTATTATTATGCCGCAATACGTCACAGGCGGATAAATCTCACGGCTATTTTTTTAAATTTCTAACAAAAAACAGTTTAAATTTTATTAGTATTATCATCGTCATTCATTATTTTATTTTGAATTATGTTTTGAATTTTATAATTTTTATATATAGTCGTTATTGTAACGAGCAGAAAGAGATTGAAGAGTGGTGATAGTTGTAGTAATTGACAATGTAAATCTTTTACCAAACTCAAATCATTTTTAATAACAAAATTTTTTAAAAAATTATTAATTTGATTAATTAATTAAAAGAATTTTAAGTGATCTTTCTTCCCCAGTTGATTGTGACTCATCATCACAACCAACTCTCCTTCAAATGTAAAAAGATTTAGCTTTCATTCTGGGATGAAAACTTGCAAACTGATGTTGACTAATCACTGTGCCAAAGTCAACGGGATGTCTTTTAAAAAGACTAACTCTTGGGGTTCATGCATGGGTTACAGTTGATCCAATTAAACCAATAAATACCTTAGGATTAAATCGTATCCCTCTTTTACCAGACGGCGTATGCAAGAGTTCTACAGCTTCATTATCATCATCATCTAAAAATGAGAATGTGGCTTCTTCAACTTCATCATCTTCTAAAAACCAAAATAAAAAAAATTCCAATACTTGTGTGAAAATTATATCAATTAAAGACCTTGATCTCAAATGAGTTCTTGATACTCATTAGAGAAACATCAACGATGATGATCCTATTGAATGATTATAATTCAAGTATTACAGCAAAAAAATGAATTTTTAAATTAAAACCTAATCTAAAAAAGACCAATTACAGCCAATTGTCGTTGGATCAATAGATTGGTGAAGAATAAAAAGGTGATTATTCATTCTTCAAAAGGCATTAAATCAACTGAGAAAATACCTGAAATAAAATATGACTGTCGCCTCACCATAAATCATCTTGGTGAATTCTACTTGAGCCAATTGAAATTAAGGCTGATAACTAAGGCCCTAAATTTTCGGTGGCTGCTGGCATCATTTCTTTTGATCTAGGAGTGGGGACCCTCATGACTGAATATAACCCAAAATGGTGAAGGTTATAAATGGGAAAACAAAAAAGTAGATCAGATCACTTATGATAGAGTACAGATGAAGGAAATTCTATTCTATTCGTGGTAAAAACAAATGAGCGCAAAAGATGTAAGCTCCATTGATGCATGCAAGAAAATTCATAATCTTGTGGTTTAATGTTATCGAAAATTTGCAAAATGAAAGTTTTAGAAAAACCCAATCCAAAAACTGCGAGACAAATGTTGAACTGGTGGCACATTACCATTTTCGTCAATATTTTCTCCATAAATCCTGCAAGTAAGTGAGTGTGGATGTTGTGGAATCATCAAACAAAATCTAGGACCTATAAATGTACATTTTGCAATTCCACAATTGATAGAGATGTAAATGGAGCCTTTAATATACTTTTAAAGTATACTAACTACTATTTACGGAAATACAACAAGAGTGGTTCGCGACGTGGGGCTTATACCCGAAACACCTCGTTGTAAGCTGTCTATGTAGGACTTGTGCTTATAGAGGTTCAATGAAGAAGTTAATAGGATTTTTAATTAATTTTTAATTACCCAAACTTAAAAATCACACCCACATGGCGTTAAAACAATTCTGTTATGTCATCCATCATCGTTCAATCCGCCTCTCTATATTTACGTAATAGTAAAATTGCATTATTTTCATGAGACTTTTTTAAAAAAAAAATTTGATTTGTAAATAAAATAATTTAAAATAATTACTTTTTTGGACTTATTATATACTTATTTTTTTCGCCCCACGAGAGAAATAGAATTCCCAAAACGAAGTTGACTCAAATGATAATCCTTTGAGTGATTGGCAAGTTCATACAATGCTAGATCATTAATTTAACAATCCTTGGCGTTGGAAAGCCAAACATCACCTAATATAACCCGTCAAGCATAAGGCATCTGCTGTTTTATTACGTGTAGTCTACAACGTCTATTATTTTTGATACAAATTCAGGAATATTTTTTGCAGGACATAGTATTCGGTATAATGACATATTATTGTTATCAAAGTATATATACATCAGACATTCAAATTCCTTCAGACAAAAGTGATTGGTGTTACAAATAATAACGCGCAAGTGGTTTTTTAACATTGCTTGAATTAATTAAATTTATTAAATTACTTGAAATTGTTACATAGTATATTATATCGATTATAAATCATATGGTTCAATTGAAACTGCAAAAAATGAAACCAAGACCAGTTTTAATTAAATTGATTTGCTAGTGACTGAACCAAAAAGTCAAATAAGAAGCGCATTTAAATCGATGACGACATATCCCATTAACTAACAGTCAAGAAAATAAACAATAATTTGAAACAATGAAAGAATACTGAAAAAAAAAGGATTTTTTTACGTTTGTTTAGTTTCCAACTTTACCAACAAACCTACAAATCAAAATAACCCAATGTCACCAGAGTTTGGATTTAGTTTTAATGCCTGAAATTGAATATAAATTCAATCCATATTCAATCTCTTCAAAAAAATCCGGCCTGGCCAGGGAATTGTTATGGGGATTTTTGTCAGGCTCTTTTGCTCTTGTTGCCTACGCACCAGTCACAATAGGGATGTGGTTCCCTGCATCTGGCCATCCCAGGTTTCTTTGAGAGGTCCACTGACTCTGGAAAAGGAGTTGGCACCTTACTTTACGACAACAAAAGAAACTTTAAAACATACATGTTGGAATTGTCTGTGTGTACATTCCGATTTTAACAGAATCGTTTTTCGCTTTTTATGAAGTCTAATGATGCAAATGATATATGGAACAAAGGTGTGGTGGGTATGAATAAATCAGCAGGGAAAAAGCGGGAAAATATAGACATCATGGACAGCACAAATGAGAAGAAAAGAAATCCACCTCCAAATCCTACTTTAACCGAAAAGTCCAAAGAAATTGTAAAAATGATAATGGATTTCTACAACCGACAGATACCGTCTCTAAAGAATCTGCCAATTCACTGATATCTTCAAAGACCGATATAGCCGTTTTAAAAGAAACACTCATAAAATTCTTTAAATCGCGATCAGGCTACTACAACTGAGGAAGTGTTGCATACGGTTACTGAACTTTTGATAACCGAACCCCAGAATCGTTTAGGATTTGTGGATCTTATTTTCGGAGGTCTAAATTACTCAATATCCTTAAATACGAGTGATTTAGCAAACTTTGACAAATACATTGAGAACGAAGATGAAAGTGAACTTTAGAAAGGAGTTTTATGTTTTGGTCTAAAGAACATAATGAAACAAAACTCACAACATTAAATATTTTTTTCCATCTGCTGAAGAACAAGTTACAAGGCATGTGAATGTAATTGCACATGGATCAGTACAAAAAGGTAAAAGAGGTATTATTGACCCTCAGATTCTCATAAAACAGCCATCTATTGTGGTTTTTTAAACATTTATATGATTATGGTCTCATTTTCAGGTTCGTTTGATCCTAAAACACATATTATAACAATGCTTGTTGGTTTAATGAATTGCTAGTTTTTGTGAAAACCAATTACTTTTATCATTCCGTGACAATTTTTCGAAATGTAAGTGATGCATACAGTGTGATTCAAAAAAAATGGTGGTTTGTAAAATATTGTTTTTAATGAAAAAGTAGCCAAAATTATGTAATAAA